GCACAAACGGTGTCATCTGATGAAGTCAGGATTAAAAATAACAAACTTTCCATTCTTTGTGCTTTAGAGCAATTCTTAAAATGCATTTATTATGTTTCCAGCCTACAATTGTTCAATTAAATTTTTCTTCTAAAAATAACAGGAGAATCATTTACTTTATGTAAATGATTTTGCATATTTACATATTCAGAAACAAAAGTGATCATTTGTTCCCAGCGTTCCATGGAGGGAGAAACTAGTCCAATCAGATGCAGCAAAAATTACGTTTCCTATTTTGGCTTCTCTGTGTTAATGACCAGAGAACATCCTTTGTTATTTTCACCTTGGTTTCAACACAATGATTTCAGTATCCTTTTCTTCCTCTGAATCTTGATCTGGTATCCAGCTGAAAAATAAATGTATAATTACATCAAGTTTGGTAAAATATATTAGTTTAAATACAACTTTGGTAAAGGATCTCATTACATGAGAAGCAAACAGTTTCCAGCAAACTCAAAAAGGCAATTGTAAGAGCAACCCAGAAAAAAACACAATATATAAATATGGCATTAAAAACAAAGTCCCACTTAAAAGTGATCAGTAAGGATTTCTCTCTCAAGTAGGAGCCAAATTGCATTTATCTTTTCCTTTGAACTATACTCAGGATGTGTTCTGCTAGCAAACTTCCTACATGTGTTAAGTTTCATATGTATTTAAACCTTTAACTAAACAGCAACTTAGAGAAAAGAAAAATCCCTAAAGTGAATCCCCTCCTCATAGGTTGACTGCATGTTCTTTGACTGAAGTCTCACAGTACAGCCCCCTTTTAAGGGCAGTAGCTGGCGTGGAGGGTTCTTAAGACGAAACTGGACAGTCAACATCATGCCCCAGAAATTCTACAGGAAGGAGTTATGTCGGAGGCAGACACTACCAATGCGTCCACATAGCCAGCGTGGAACAAGACAGCCATGAAGCATCTGAGCGCTAGATGAAGTAGCTAGTAGCAATATTTTCACAGACACACAAAAAACTTGAAACATGGGAATAACTAGATGGTGAGCTGCTCGCACTAAGAGGACACAGCAGATTCGCACGTCCCATCTCACCTTCAATGGGACATATACGCACTGTCTGAAAGAGCAAGCAAAATGACTCACACTTACACTGTTGGGTCTGGTTTCTGCCAAGCCTGTATTGCTGAGACGGCGCCAGCCAACTGTGATACAGCTCCATTCATTGTGGAAGACTGACAGTGACGCAGTCTCAGCAATGATAAGATTCTATTAGTCTGCTAAAGATCCCCTACCTTGCTCTTTCCAGTGTCAAAGTATAAGTGAAGCTTTGCCTTACATTAATATTTAGAAGTGGTCAGAACATCTCTACCTTTTATTCAAGATCATTACAAATTTCTGTAAAAGGTAGGAAAATTATCAAGATTTATAAAATTGGGGTTGGCCTATGGGTTAAAGGGGGCCAGACACCATGTGGCAGGCCACAGTCTGAATCCTGCTCCCTGCAGTGGCGTGTGTGCAAACCCCAAATCCCGACAGGATGGAAAAATGGAGGAGAGGGGATGCTTTCTCCTCTGACTCTTGTTGGTGAGCACATCGGCCCTCTGGCAACTAAAATGTTTAAAAATTTTAATTGTTTAATTTTTTGGAGATGACAGACTGGGCTTTAGGCGAGAATTTCAGGGAGTTTATATAAATCCAGTGGCTTGATGTGATTACACAGTACGCCTCACCGTTATCGCCTACACTACCCCTTTGTGACTTCTCAATTATCTAAACATGCCTTGAAATTCTAAGAAAGCTAAAGGCTTTCATATTACGTAACTATATGAGGGAAGGCAAGAAAACCCTTCTCTTTTTACATTAAATGACAGGAAAACATGCCAGATAATTGTGCCACTTGAGAAAGGAAAACAGCGTGGCCAAATCCGCTCTAACTTTACACCCTCCCTGGGTCTGATTTGCTGGCAAACACGCTCAGGTCCCGTTTGGCCTCCTGGATCGTGAATCTCTGCACCTCCTGTTTCGTCAACAAAAGGGAAAAGATGTGCAGTGTATTTCCTAAATAAAAGCAGGCCGAAGTCTAAGTTACTGCTTTCACTAAAGGGATGTTCATATTTCTGATTTCACATTTTCCCTTCCACAAGAAAAGGATCTGTTTCCATTCCAAGGATCTCTGTAGATCTTTTCTCGAATCAAACCATGCTAGAGTGGAACCCCACAAATCTGTAATGTCTTTTTAGGCCTCTTTCTCATGATTCATCAATCCAGAATTCAAACACAGATACTGACATTTTCCTTTTGTTATGTAAGATAGACCTTAGATTCCCACACTACGGGCCTGTGAGTAATTGCCGAATGACCTGAATTCACAGTAACCAGCATCAACCTCTGTATATTATCTGACAAGACTTCATTCTCACACAGAGGAACTCAGGAAGGCCAGCCGCTCTGTGAGCATGACACAGTGAATGACAGAACAGTCAGCTGCGAGGGCTCACGAATGCCGTCTGAGTGGGAGTAAAAAATATGACCTATACTTTTCCCCACACTGTCACTGCAACCTACCTGCAAGTTTTGGATCAGCAGAAAAGTCATGATGTACTTCTCTTTACTATGCAAAAATGTGCCATGACTTTTCTGACAACCGGATAGTAAGCCACTCAAACATTTAACTCCATGCAGATGATCTTTAGCATAAGTTTTATTTATTTAGCCATAGGGTGTGTGCGCTTGCTGAAGAGAGACAGTGAGAGGGAAAGTGAGAAATCACACCCCCGGGGGGATGGCCACCCCACACCACAACCCTCTCTCCATCCTCCTCCTGGGATTTTGGGCACATGCACACAGGTGCCAAGCATGATTTTCAAGCCACCAGGTCTGGGACTCAAACTGCAGTCTCGGCTAAATGGGAGTCCAGTGCCATAACCACCATGCCATCTGCTGGCCCCAGCATAACCTTTTAAAAATCTTTAACCACTTACCATGGATCTTTTACACTCAAAGAACGAGTATTTCAATGCTTTGCAGTATCCTTCCTTCAAACACTGTCGAGGAGATTTTCCTTCCTATGATACACAAAACAATATAAACCTGGGAAATTTTCTCACAAAATCCAAAATAACTGTCCTTCCAAAAAAGTTTTTATAAGATGTTAAACAAGAGGAAACTAGTAAATTTTACAACAGTTCTTCACTCATCTTCATTGTTAATGCTTAAAGAGAAAAGGATAGAATGAAAAATTCATAAAATAATTTTTGAGCACTCCAAGGAGGCTCTTTGAGTTCTTAAAATCATTAATTTCTATGAGATACTTTTCTATATAGTTTATACAGATTCTAGAAAACAGTCTGTCCATCTCCTTATGGCTGAAACTCAAACATCGGTGAGAACGCTGTTAGTGTCAGTACGGACGATGTTAATGCGGTGGGCTGGAGTGCACCCCAACAGAGACCTCTGGTCTGTTCATGCACCAGGAAAAACGTAGCAGGTCTCACCTGCACAGTGTGGGGTTTCCCCTCAAGCAGGTTTGGGCTTTCCAACCTGGATTTTGCACCTGCCAGTCACACTCCCCTAACCTCTACTCCAAAGAAAGCGAGAGTACCACGTCTGTGGTGTTCCTGCTGCCCAGGAATTGTGGCCGCTTTCTAGTCTGTCTGGGCCCTGGATTTCAACTGTTAAATCTCAGTGACTCTCACACTGGAACAGAGTAGTAGGCATCCTTGCCTCTTCACTTTCCTCCCCAAACTCCGCAATACTGCCACCGGGGGCATGCCAGAGGAACAGCACAGGGACAAAAGGCTGTAACTTACTCAAAACCTGATGCCTCCCAAACTGTAGATGTCTAAGATGCTACCTCTTCACAAGCTTCCAGCCTATACTGCGAACTACCCGGTGGGAAGATCTATGTAGACACGTTAACGCTAACAGAGAAATGTCAGTTCATTATCCCCTTTTACCGCGAGCTGTCCCTTTGTATTGAACACTTGGCTGGGTTACATCTCCCAGCCTCCCTGACAGCTGGGTGTGGTCACGTCCTTAAATTCTAGCCAATGGAATGTGCAGGAACTGAGATGTAAAACCTCTGGGTTGGTCCTTAGAAAAGAGGCCTGTCCCTTCCCACATACACCGTGTTACAGGGCCTGATGCTGTGGAAGAAGGCAGTCGTGGACCAGGTAGAAGAGCGACATCCTGCCTCCTGTCACAACACCTAGAGCCACAGATCAAGGGTCTGGGTCCATGGAAGCCCGAGGAAGCCACCCGGGTCCTACTCACATGCACAAAAGAGAGAATACTGTCTTGGCTAAGTCACTGTTATTTCTGGGCCTCTGGGAGGAAATGGCTAACGTGTGGGGAGGTAGGGAGAGGGTGGGAACAGCAGTGGAATCTGTCCAGTTAAGGGCGCCTGTCCCCACCTCCAGGTGATTCCGATGAAGAGTGAGCAAGTCTGACATAAGGCAGAAACCCTGTGAGTGAGGTTCCCCTGACAGAGCTTCACCCTTTCCGATTTCCCAGCAGTCATAAACCCAGGAAATGGATCCAAAGGATGTCTTTTTTTGGTTGTTTCTTTTTTGAGAGGTTTTTGCTATAGGGCGTGTGCGCTCGCCTGAGAGAGAGAGAGAGAGACAGACAGACAGACAGACAGAAAGCGAGAAATCACCGCCTGGGGTCGCAATCCCTTCTCCTCCATTCTCCTCTCGGGATCTTGAGCACGCACGCACACGCGCCCCGTGTGAGTTTAAGACACCAGGTCCGGTACGCGAACTGCGGCTGACTACATGGGAGTCCAGTGACATAGCCATTATGCTAACTGGTGGTCCCCCAAGGGATGTCTTCATAATCTTTTCCCTTGCTTCTCTTCTCCAGCCCTACTGGAATTTACATCGTATCACAATTACTGAGTTTCTCTGACCCCTACTGTTGGTTTGCTGACTAGCTCCCCAGCAGCATCTACAACTATTCATAAATACTCGTTTATGCTGAATTCCTCCCTAGAGGAAGGTGCTGCAGGTTTCAGGCGGGTTAAAAGACTGGCAAGAAGAGACTATATAGCCTTCACCTCCCATAAAATCAGATTAACTTCTCTACTCAAGAAGCTGAGGCATAGGGACCAGCAGTTAGCGTAATGGCTATGTCACTGGACTCCAATGTAGTCAACCGTGGTTCGCGTCCTGGACCCGGTGGCTTAAAACTCACACCCGGCATGTGTGCGTGTATGCCCAAGATCCCGAGAGGAGAACGGAGAAGGGACTGCGGTGTGACCATCCTCCCTGGGGGGTGATTTCTCGCTTTCTGTCTGTCTGGCAAGCGCACACGCCCTATAGCAAAAACCTCTCCCCCCAAAATAAGCTGAGGAATCAGCGATCTGCACCATGCATGATCTGGCCATACACTTCAGGCACATGTCCTTGTCTTCAGAGTCCCCCGTGGGGAGAGGTGGGCAGTAGCAACCAGTGACACCATCCAAGAAGGTAGAAGACTGTGCTGGACCTGCCAAGCACAACGCGGGCTTCACGTCACAGCTGCCCGTGTATACTCCAGCTGAAGTCACCGCTGGGATGAATTTAAGACCAACTGCAATTGCACTTTCATCCCAGAGGCTGTTTATGAACATCGGGTTTTCCTAGGTGGCCAAATCCAGCATCAACAAGGCAACATACTCAATATCCCGGCCACCTCTCCGCCCACAGCCTCCTAGCCCCTCCGAGATCCACTTTCTACAGGGCAGAGAACGTGTCCCATTCATGATTACTTGTTCCCTGAGTTAGAACTCAGCACTCGGAAAATGTTTGCTAAATTAATCATTGCAAAAAACGAACTTCGCATTCTTTATCGCCCTCTACTTCCACGGGGAAGTTTTTGCGGAGATGAAATTATTTTGATTTGGGTGTTCATTGAATGCTTTAAACTGTTCACCTCCACGGCCTTCCTGGTGAAGGCCAGGATAAAACCCACACTCCTCACCCTAGCGCCCAGGCCGTCACACTGGCTGCGCCCTTCCTCTCCAGCCTGTCACACTCCTCAGATCCCAGGCCCCACAGGCACTAGCTTCTCCTGGCTCTCCTACACCCCTGCCTCTGCACGTTGTATTTTTTTCCAGTTTCTCCTCACAACCATCACAGTCCTTCCTTTTTTTTTATTTCATAAACTACTGCTCAACCTTTGGAGGACTCAGCTCAAATGTCAATCCTCTGAGACGTTTTCAAATTCTGAAACAAAACCAGTTGATCTCCTCTGGGCTCAGGCATTTCTTTCTTTGGTTTATTCATTCAACAAGTATTTAGTAAATGCTGACAGAGCCCATATGGCAGGAACTTAAGATCCTTACCTGTCGCTTTCTCCCTTACACCAAGCTTACATACATACTGATAAAGATCCAGCTCCGGAGCCCGGTACCCAGCACCGCCTGCCACTTAACAGGCAGTCACTAGGAACTGCCTGGACACAAGCACCAGTGAATGAAGCAGCAGACTGGAAACCCGGACAGGGGAACTGGAACAAGGTCTCCTCACCTGTACAAGTTTAACCAGAAAATCCCTTGAATTTATAAAGTTTTCCTAGACACTGGGAGGCGAGTCTGGCAGGTTGCTAACGTGCGTGAACCAAACGCAAATTATGCCTCAGTGGAGAGACAGCCTGACAGATGTCCATCTGGGGACAGGCGTCTTCTTTGAAATGGGAACAATTCCCGAACTACGTTCCAAGATGCAAAAACAACTGCACACACTTGACTGCCCCCCTTATCCGGCTCCTGTAATTGGAAGAGGCACTTGTGTTTACTAGGCCTCTAACCACAGCCTGGGTCCCAGGTCCACTTCGAACCTCACTGCATGGCATGTGTCACTGCCTTCGGTCTGGGTGCAGAGAACCGCCGAGACTGCACTGCGAGCACAGCGCAGGGAAAGCAAGACACAACACGGTGACAACACGGCGCGGCCCCGTGTCGACAACTGCGACTCAGAATCAATTTCGGCAAATTTAGCATATATTCCGTTACAAATGAGAAAGTAGGGAAAACCACCAGCCAGTACAGTGTACCAAGCCCACGTAACGCTCTACTGTAATTATAGTCTCATTTCTCGGCGCGCAAGAAACCTGTCTCCATTCTCCTTGCGCTCGAGCGTCTAGCGGTGTTGCCAGCGTCCAATGAACGCTCGAATCGAAATCACGTCGTTTCCACAACAACCCGAAGGGGTGGGTACCGTTTGCCTCCCTCTGGACACCTGAGGAAACGGGGGCTCCGACAGCTCAAGGGGCCGCCCCAGGTCAGAAGGCTGAGCGGGTCTACATCTCGGAACGGAAACCACGGCCCCCGAAGGCCTCCGCAGGCCGCCCGGGGCCCGTTCGCCCGGCCCTGCCTCCCCGAGGCACCACCGGGAGCGCGGGCCGCGCTACCTGCAGCACACAGTCGGACTGCAGCAGACACGCGCCCAGGTCCTCCTTCACGCCCGCGCACGCGCCGCCCTCCGGCTTGTCCTCGTAATACCGGGGCATCCTCCCGCCCGCCGCGCCGCGACCCTCTCGGCCCCGACCGCCGCGACCCCGCCGGGCCGAAGCAGCGCCAGCGGCGGAATGAACCGGAAGCTGTCACCATAACTTCCGGGGCCGGTGGGCGGTGCGTGCGCCGGAAGTGGGCGCACTTGACGCGGCGCGCCCGGAGCGCCAGTGACGTTGCGGCCAGGGAAGTTGGCCCCGCTGTTGCTGGGCTCGGCTGTTGGGCCGCCGAGGCTGGATATTTCGGACCCGGGTCGAGGCCGCAGCAGGGCTCCAGGTGAGGCCTGGGGACAGCTCGGCCCGCGCGCGCCTGGGGCTTGAGCCGAGGATCATCCCTTGGCGGCAGCTGGCGGTCCGGCGTCACTGCGGCCGAGCAGTGACCATGTCCGCACCCGGCCCCCCGTTATCGGGGGAAATTAAGGACCCCGGTCACATTCGAGCCTCAGACAGAGGAGTGGTTTGTAGTGTGAGCGTCCGAAATGTTGTGTGGAACTGCTCGTGCTACAACGCTGATCACTGCCTGTCTGAAATCCGTATGTAACCGGGGGCTCTGTTTTCCTTTGCTCGATCTGGCGGCCATACCCGCCGCGCCGGAGGCTTGCAAGATGGAGTGGGGGACTGGGCTGTGGGCGTCGGGCCGGGCGGTGAGCTGCACTTACCTGCTCCGGACTGCCTGGACTGGCCTCCCACTCTGTTAAAAAAAATGGGAGCAAAACAGTCGGAACTGGAGTTTCCCTTTAAAACAAAACAAAACATCCTAGTGAACGAAGAGCTTGCTGGCTGCACGTTCATGGGTGAACAGGTCACTTATTTTACCTCTTGGGTAGTACCGTTTTCGAATCGACTTAAGCAAAGGTTTTTCATTAAAGGCTCGGGAGTTTGAGTCATTTCTGAGCTCTGCCTTGTCACTGTCTTGTGCTCACAGGGAGGTCACTTCACCTCCCTCTACCTGCTCTCGCGCCCTCAGCCAGCAGGAGCTACTTGGGAGGGCTGTCGGGATCGGATGAGGTGAAGTATGGGAAGCACTTGAGCGCTGCCAAGTGTTCAGAAGGGTTGGCGTCACCCTCCTGGTAGTGCCATCAGCAGTTCTCCAGCCCCTAGACAAGCCTCAGAACAACTGCATTTGCTTTTGACCCCGAACCCTTCCAAGGCTTGGGAGAAGAGGTAAAGTGACCTCCCTGCTAAGTAACTCGGGAGAGGAGTGCTGCTAGTCAAAAGTTTCTTCCAAGTGTGTAAGAACTTTTTTCCTTCCGTCTAGGGAAATGTTACCAAGTACATCAATGGGTTCCTCTATGCAGGGGAATGGAGTCTTGAATTCCAGGGATGCAGCCAGACACACAGCTGGAGCAAAGCGGTACAAGTACCTGAGAAGGCTTTTTCGTTTCCGGCAGATGGACTTTGAGTTCGCTGCCTGGCAGATGCTCTACCTGTTCACTTCCCCACAGAGAGTTTACAGGAACTTTCATTACCGGAAGCAGACGAAGGACCAGTGGGCCCGAGATGACCCTGCTTTCTTGGTCTTACTAAGTATCTGGCTCTGTGGTAAGTGTTGCAGTAGACACGAAAACAAATCGAGCATTTCAGATTAGATTTGTCATTTGGAGGATCCTTTGTTAAAAGTGTGTTGTGGGTCAGGATTTGGGGATGTTTGAAGCTCCCCCTCCCACCCCTACGAAGGTTCAGAAATCTCCTCAGAGGAAAGAAGGGTGTACTCCTTCCTCGGTTTACAGGACCTAAGCAAATGCCAGAGTAAACTGTTACCTCAGGACTCTTTCAACTACTATGACTCAATACCCTAATGCCAACTTAATGTGCAAAAGAATATTGAGATGGGAAATTGCATTTCACAATCAGGCAGATCCAGAGTGAGCGTTCTGAAAGTACTCATGTGAATTTCAGAAACTGCTTTTAAGTTCTCCTGTAGTGTAATGAAAGCGTCCCAGCCACATTTAGGGCGTTGAAGTAACATGTTACATAGTGCGTAGGGTGTTTTTCATCCTTTACTGGACCTAAAATATGAGTGCCTTTTCTGTACCCAGAAAAACGACTAGCAAGAAAGTGCACCATGTTTATGTCACTAAGGTGATTCAGTTTGTCTCAGTGGCCATGATGTGAGTATATTTCTACATCAGGTCCTGGAACACATCTTGGGAGCTTTGTTTCCTTGTCCCCTCTATAGTCTGGGCATCTGAAGGCAGGGAATGTGTCCTGTACCCAGAACCTAGCAGAGTGCCAGCATGAATCTTGTCCATCTTTCTTTCAGTGTCCACTATAGGATTTGGCTTTGTGCTGGACATGGGGTTTTTTGAGACCATAAAGCTGCTTCTTTGGGTTGTATTCATAGATTGTGTTGGTGTTGGCCTTCTAATATCAACTTTAATGTGGTAAGTACTGTAATTTTGGTTTTTCAGCATTTGAAACCAAGGTAGCTTAATGGAAACTACCCATTTTTTAAAAAGAATTATTTAATTCCATTTGTAATTATTTTTTAATTTAATGAGAAAGGTAAAGTAATAAAGCAAGCCACCTGGTCCAGAACTCAATCTGCAATCGGCCATGTGGGAATCAAGCGCCTTTAACTGCCGCGCCACCTGCCGGCCCCAGAAACTCTCAATTTTGACTACCTAGGTTATTATAACTCATCTTCCTGTGTTGCTGCCAGTATCAAAAAATACTATTCAGGGTGGTCTATATTGTTGAAGTACAGCAAATAATTACAGTAATGGTTGTATCATACTAAATCCCTGACTTTGCAAAAATATGCATTTAGCAGGTTCTGCTTAAGTTGTCTGGATGATAATGGCTTTTTACCTTTGTCAGTGGGCACCATTTCTGAAAGTGTAAGATTTAGAAGATTATTTCATGGAGTCTGAGTGTGAATCTTTGACATTAAATCAAGTATATTTGTGTCAAGAATTTTTCTTTCTAAATAAAACACTCACACACACAGGTTTTATTGGAAAGGTTCTCTTTCTTTGTCTGGGACTGATTAGACAACAGCGGTGTACTGAGTATAGATCTAGTGTTGGGTTTTTTTGTTCTCTCACAGATAAAGCTCCTGAGTGATGGGCACGCTGGATGATGGGCAGCAGATGTGACAAGGGACCTCCATAGTGGGTCAGTGGTTGAGGAGGGATGTCAGAGAGAACACAGTAGAACACTTTGACTGCAGAGAGGGTCGCAGGGTTCAGATGCCAGTTCAGGCATTGGTGTAACTCTTAGCCCAGGTCTCCTCTTCTCTAAAGTGGAGTCAGTTAGCTATTTTGACAGATGTCTGAAAGGACTGTAACATGAAAAGCTCCGGGCACATAATTAGGTGTTCGCCGTATAGAAACTATTAATATTTTAAACAAAATTGCAAGACTGTAACTTCTGATGATGCCAACTTTCACTTTCCTCTGTAAGGTCTGACTGGTGTGGTACAGGTTTGGATGTGCCAGATGGTTGATAATGGTGTGTACCGTTCATCCAGAATTCTAAAATCTGACTTAATATTGCTCACTGTTACATATTCATAACTACATGGTTTGTGAAAAAATTTTAATAAATAAGGCTTTCAAAGGAATAGTTTTGTTTGTAGCAAGCTTTCTACCATGAGTGCAGTGATTCAGGGCAGAGAGGGGTAGGGCACAGAAACCAAGTCCTAGTAATAGAATGAAAATAGGAAAGGGCTCGGTAAGGTTTTTTTGGGGCAGGGGGAGGATTTTCACTATAGAGTGCATGCACTCACAAGAGGGAGAGAGGGTCAGATAGAAAGTGAGAAATTACCCCCGTGTGGATGGGGGAATGCCAGAATCCCTTCATTCTCCTCTCGGGATTTTGGTCATGCACACACCCACACCTGGTGTGAGTTTCAAGCCACTGGGTCCAGGCTTCAAACTGTGATGAACCATGTGTGAGTCTAGCACCTAGCGCCTTACCCACTATGCCACCTGCTGACCCTACTCAGTATGCTTTTTTATTTTTTTATTTTTTTTTAATTTATTTTTTTGGAGAGGTTTTTGCTATAGGGTGCATGCACTTGCCAGAAAGAGATAGAGAGACAGATAGTGAGAAATCACCCCCAGGGAGGATGGCCACGCCACAGTCCCTTCTCCTCCATTCTCTCAGGAGCTTGGGCATGCATGCACACGTATCTGGTGTGAGTTGAAGCAACCGGGTCCAGGACTCGAACCGTGGTCGACTACATGGGAGTCCAGTGACATAGCCATTACGCTAACTGCTGGTCCCTCTACTCAGTATGCCTTTGAGAACCCATGCTGTGTTGTGAATTATGTGAGGAGCTAGAAATGATTATGTCATCGTGACCATCCCACTGGCATGCCTCAGGAGCCAGCCTGAGTGGGTGTTTTGTGGTGAGGTGGAATAGTTGATCTTGTAAGTGCAAAACTACAGAAGTGTGGGACAGTGTGCCAGGTCTGGGACCACAGGCTGACACCGAATAGCAGGGGAGACATGCGACTAGAGAAAGTGGCTTTAATGCAGTTCAGAAAAATACGCTGAGCATTATCTCATAGGCTGCATGTGTGGTTGGGGGATAGAAGAGAGGGAACTGGGACCAGCAGCTAGTGTAATGGCTATGTCACTAGACTCCCACGTAGTCCACTGCGGTTCGCGTCCTGGACCTGGTGGCTTAAACTCACGCCGGCATGTGTGCGTGCGTGCCCAAGAAAGATCCCAAGAGGAGAATGGAGGAGAATGGATTGAGGTGTGTCCATCCCCACTGGGGGGTGATTTCTCGCTTTCTGTCTCTCTGTCTGTCTGTCTGGTGAGCGCATGCATGCTATAGCAAAAAATAAAAAATAAATAAAAAACTCTGAAATAAAACAGGAGAGAGGGAACTTGGAAGCTTGAGGAAATACCAACTTCACACTTCAGGAAAAATCTCTTCCGTGATGTGGAGGAGCTGGAAAGGTAGGCTAGGTTGCATACAATGTATCTGTGTAAGATAGAGGCCCAGCCAGGTGACAGGTGGGGCTGCAGTGCTGGAGCCAGCTGGGGACCTGGGTTCAGAGAGCAGGTCGATCCAAACATGCTGGATCTGCCCAAATGTTACTACAGGGCCATCACATTTAAAATTGCAAGTTTGTATTCTCTCTCCTCGATTGCTTGATTTTTCCATAGTACCATCCAATGTGCATTTATTATTGTCGCTCTTCTCCACTAGGTCAAGGCAAAGATTTTTGTTTGTATCTGCCAGTGGTCACCTGTGATCCCGATTGGTTGAGGGAAGCTCTCAGTGATGGACCCTGTCATAGACGCCTTCTCTGTGTGCGTATCTGTCTCTCTCTCGTTAATTTTAAAGAGAGAGTGAGTGGAGGATGCCCAGAATAGGCAGTGACTATAGGAATAGAGAGGAGAGAGGTAGATTCATAGGGAAGAGGGAGGAAGCCGAGGCCTGTTTTGGGATGGCCTGCAAGCTGTGGGCTTTGATCACTGAGTAATAGATGAAGCATTTCACGCTGGACCTGTTCAGGAGCTTGTTGAATATTTAGTGGAAATGAAGGTCAATAGACACGGAGGTGGACAACCCTGAACCTACAGGCAACAGCCTGGGCCAGTTTGAGGACATGATAGGCACCATGATGGGAGATGAGAACACAGTTGTCTGAGATCTTAGAACAAGTGTCTGGGGACCAGCAGTTAGTGTAATGGCTATGTTGCTGAGCTCCCATGTAGCCGACCATGGTTTGAGTCCCGGACCCAGTGCCTTAAACTCACACTGAGCACGTGTGCATGCGTGCCCAAGATCCCAGGAAGAGAAGGGATTGCGGCATGGCCATTCCCCCTGGTGGTGATTTCTCATTTTCTCTCTTCCTTTCTGGAGAGCACACGTGCCCTATAGCGAAAACTTCTCCAAAAAAGAAAAAAAGGGGGGAGGGGACAAATGTCTGTGTCCTAAAGGCAAGACTCAGAGTGAGGATGGATGCTTGGAAGGCACCCATTTCAGGGGCAAGCCAAGGGCGAAAAGCAGCAGGGGAGGCACGTGGGGTGGGCTCCATGTTCTCCTCAGAGGATCTTAATGGCACCTGTTCTTGGCTAAAACGGGCAGTGCTTTGGTAAGTTCCACTTCGTTCAAGTGAAGCAGAATTATTTTGACATTTTCAGAAAACTAAGTGCTAGACCACTTTTATTAGAACCTCTACTGCTTTATTTTCTATTTTTATCTTCATTATAGAAATAGTTTTTTTTTTTTTTTTTAAAGAGATTTTTGCTATAGGGCACATGTGCTTACCAGAGAGACAGAGAAAGAAAGTGAGAAATCACCCCCCCAGAGGGATGGCCACGCCACAATTCCTTCCCCATTTTCCTCTCGGGAATGCATGCACACACACCCGGCAGAGTTTTACACTGCCCTGGATCCAGGACTCGAACACAGGAGTCCAGTGATACAACTGTTATGCTGTCTGCTGGTCTCAGCATTTTAATTGTGTCCTTGAATGGAAATGAAATGACACATTAAAAAGTACATCGAGTTTCCACAGGTGTGTTTATAACAGAATTTGTTTTTTTGGTAAGATCTACATTTCTGGATACTCTTTTCATTCATTCATCATGTAACTGGAAAACTAGTTGGTCATGCTGCAGAGCAGGGACATGAGCTTGAGTGGTTGTTCTTAGGGCTAGATGCGGCGCTTGGCATCTCCTGTTTCTCTCACCTCCTAATTGTGGTTTGAGCCACATCTTAGGCCCTGGACCTGTTTGCCGTCCTGTTCATTCTCGTTGCTGATGTTGCTTAGGCCCATGTTTAAGTAGCATCTCCATGCTGGTGAGTTCATTTGTTCTCCGCTAAACTCCAGACTTTACGCGCAGCTTCCGACTCCACACTCACAGGCACTTTGAGCATAACAGGTCCAAATTCCAACTTCTGCACTCTCTCTCCCACTTCAAGACCATTCTTCCTGCAGCCAGCCGCACCTTCGTCCATGGCAGCTCCCACTTCCACTTGTTCAGAGGACAAATCTCAGCCTTCCTTGATTCTTCCTTCGTTCTCATATCTGTGCCGCACATAGGCCCTGCAGGTGCTCCCTTCCAGCTCTTGCATACCCCACATCTCGCCTTCGCTGCCATGCCACCAGCCGCTCCATTCATCTCTTCCTCGCAGCAGCCTTCCCCTGGTCTCTGCATCCAATCCTGTCCCTAGTCTGTTCTCAGATCATCCACCAGGGAGACCCATCAAAACATGCAAACTCAACACTCTGCTCGCAACTCCACGATTGCTTCTCATTTCACCAGCAGTAAAAGCCAGAGGTCAGTCTTCAGATGGTCACAGCCTCAGATCGGGCTCCCCGTCCCCTTTCTTCCTACAGATGCACAGGTCTCCTTACTCCTTCCCTAGGCTTGCCACACACCGTCACCGCTCCCACCGTGTGGTTGTTGCCCAAACGTGACTTCACGGCCACTGCATTTAAATTGTACCTCAAGTTTGTGCTCTCCCTCCTTCTTGGGTGCTTTATCTTCCCTTAGTACTGCCCAACATACAGTTATTATCAGTTTTCTCCACTAGATCAAGGTGAAGACTCTTGTCTGGTTTGTTACTGAATCTCCAGAACTTAGAATAACGTCTGGCACGCAGACGGTCGTTGGTAGCTGTTTATAGAATTCACTTGATTGTATGATTAAAGACATTTTGATTTTGCTCTTCAGGTTCATCTCTAACAAGTACTTAGTGAAACGACAGAGCAGAGACTACGACGTGGAGTGGGGCTACGCCTTTGATGTGCACCTGAATGCTTTTTATCCACTCCTGGTCATCTTGCATTTTATCCAGCTCTTTTTCATCAACCGTAAGTAGCAGTTGCTTCTCAAAGCGCTGTTAGGTCTTTACTGTGTGTGTTGATCAAGAAACTCACTCTGTGCATCTCCTCCGGCAGATGTTATCCTGACAGACACATTTATTGGATATTTAGTTGGAAATACCTTGTGGTTGATAGCAGTCGGCTATTACATTTATGTGACCTTCCTAGGCTACAGTGGTAAGTAATTCAAGTTTGTGTTGCTGTTGTTGATTGAGAACGTGACAGGGACAGAAGAGCTGTAGCAGTGATTACTAATAGCTTAATTGTAGGGTGCACTTACAGGCTACCCCAAGGGTTTGGCAGGAATTCTCTCACTTAATCTTCACAACAACGGTGTGACGTAGGTTTTCCCAAACCCTCTTTCAGGCGAGGAAACCATAAGGCACAGAGATTAAGTAACTTACCTGTGGTTGCACAGCACAGCTAGAAAATGGCACGGAGGTACAGAATTTTATTTACTGCTGTAATGTAACTGCTGTAATATTCCTAAACACCAGTTACACTGCATCATTTCAAGAAGCCCTGTTAAGCCGGACCAACTCCCAGTTACTGGCAGGAATCTGTGACCACGTTCTCCCTTTACCCCAGGCTCTCGGGTCCTGAGTCACCAGTAACTGGGCAGAGGAAGGGCTCGGCCAGATGGACGGGCACACAGGTGTGCAAACTGAATTGGTATAAACTTTTTGAATTACACTTTTGCCTCATTTTTAGGTTTTAGTTCTGTAGATGCCCATCGATTGGGCCCAGTGTTTACTGACCTCAGGATGTATTTGCAAATTTACTCTTAAATCCTGTGGTCCGTTCATTTAAAATGAATGAAGAGCATACATTAACTTCCATTCTTGTTAAATGATCTCCATCAAATAAAGTCTAGAGATCTTAGATTGTTAGCACTGTGTGTGTGTATATATCGGGTATTTTTTTAGCCCTTTTTTCCTTGTTACTCTGGATGACTAGGACCTTACTGTACACACACACCTCTCACTCACACAGCTGTCTGCCCTGGTCAGCGGTGGACCCACCCCCACCACTACCCCTTTGGTCGTCAGGGACCACTTCACCCAACCCCTTATTGTGATGTATTCATTTGGGGATCAAGAGTCTCTTCCCTAGTGAGATGTTTGTAACATTTTATATCTGGTAGAAAATGAATTTTCATGTATTTTGAGAAAGTGCTTCAGTGACTAGAACCCTGCAGCACGGGTTCCCAAGTGGATTTTGAACACTCCTACCACGCAGCACAGTTTGAGTACAGCTCAGTTTCCAGGAAAGAATTTCCTGTACGAGAACTACATGGGTCAGACTGTGTAGTGAGCAAGAAATAGGAATATTTGGGGCTAGGCTTTTTATTTAGGAGATTTTGTTCTTTCCTAAAGCTTAGGACACAGGTTGTACATTCCCAAAATGAGGATGTAGTGATTCTTTTAATCCTGAAAAATCTCGTATGGCTAAGAGATGTTTTCCCCCATAACACTAGCCATCTGTACGTTAAGATGGCCTCCTACAGGCTTCTGAGCAGACACAGGTTTACAGTCACCGTTCTTCTCAGTATTTGTGGCACTTGTCCCTCACTTTTAGCCTCTTACTCCCGGTTTGCTTCCCCTCAGCCTGCGTGCCGAAATGTCCCTCTCAGTTTCTTCAGAGGCCTGAATGAGAAGGAAGCAGAGTCGCACAATTAGTATAGCTCTGACCATGAAAACATCGTCTCACTGATTCAAAATATGCAATCGTTTTTGGCCCCAAATATTGAAGTGCTGTCTTTCTTTGTTAGTCATCTTTTATAAAAAAATCAATTTGGATTTGTTTCCTTTTCCAGCACTGCCATTTTTGAAGAACACGGTAATTCTTCTCTACCCATTTGCACCTCTCATTCTCCTGTACGGGCTGTCCCTGGCACTGGGGTGGAACTTCACCCACACCCTCTGTTCCTTCTACAAGTACAGAGTGAAGTGAAGAGAAAGGTGACAGTACGCAACCTTAACTATGTCGGCAGTATTGGTGCAGTGATGACTTTTTGTAAAATTTGTAAATAACCTATCTTTGTAGATATCTTAAAGGTGTAAAGTTTGCAGATTTGAAGAAATATATGTTAACACTATTGTCAAGTACATTCCTTAAAACTAATTAAATGTACATTTCTGTAATAAATATTTTTTAAACTGAAGCACGCATACTATTTTAATATTTGCACACACAAGAACTACATATAAAATACCGAGAGCACAGGTGAAGATAAAAATGTTACTATGTTTATGAATAAGTACTTCTGACCGAGTATACTGGAGGACATGATACCCTGTCCTTGCTCTTGTCATTTACAACGTGCACAGTCTATCCCATGTCTAAACAACACTATGTTAAAAAGTTAAATAGGCCACATGACCCCAGGCTAACCACCAAAAGCATCTTTAACTGGTAATGTAACTCGAGCAGGAATCACTGCAGATAGCCCTAAACAGCAGTAACAGCATTTTCTACACAAGACAAAACCCAAGCCAAAAATAAGCAAAACCTCCCAAATACGTTAGACCAGAGCGGCCATGGCGGCTGCTCTTATTCTGAGAATCCTCTCACGTAATGAGGTCAACGAACACCTACATAACCTTGACACCACTGCCTTGACAGCAAGGCCTTCTCCCTTCTCCTTTCCCCAACACCCTCATAAATTTAGGATTCACTGCTATTTCTAACTGAAAATAAACTATTATTTACATCAGTGTTAAACTTAACAACAAATTTACTCAGAGTTTCACCCATTTTTATTATAATAGCCAGCAAGTGGTGTAGTGGTTAAGGCTCTGGACTCCCACATGGTTGACCATGGTTCAAGTCCTAGACATAGAGGCTTGAAACACACTGTGTGAGTGCGCGCGCATGTATGCCAAAGTCCTGGGAGGAGAAGAGATTGTGATGCGCAAGTTCTTGCTTTCTCTGTCTCTGGTGAGTGCACGGAATCTATAACAAAAACTTCTTTAAGGAAAAGAAAAAGGTCATCTTGAGTTCCACATAGCTTTTTTAACTTCTTTATTTCAAATACACATGAACAGTTGTGGCACAGAGAAACAGTGATGAAAGGCACAGTCAACAGGACAGTTATTAAGTTTCAATTATAGCAGCAAATTTGAAAATAAATAATCTTCCTTTAAAAATCCAACGGGTACCTAAAATATTACTACAGATATTAGCCATTCAACCAATGAAGACATTTTAAGGAAAATATGTATAATACACATAAGGAAAAAAAGTCTGGTACAGCCTGGCAAAGATTCCTCAGGCAGTTTCTTGAGGGGACGCTTCCAGGAACATCCCAAATGCAAAGAGGACCTCTCCACACAAAATGTTCTGAATGAAACAGTTTTTCATCCCCAAAACGAAACATTGGTACACTAGGCTGATTTCTGTCTTAGAAAACATTACTGTCTGTAAGGAAAGGAGAAGAATCGAAGCTGCTGGCAGTGCATCTTACAGTACTGTCGATGTCCGCCATTTTAAGGCTCAGAGAATATGTCTTCAAAAGGTATTTTCACCAAATGTGAGCAGACACTGAGCATTTCAAATCAATAATGGAATGCGAGTCAAGGTAAAGTACCGAACCTTTGATCCAGGACAGGCTGCTAATCGCTAACACGACAGAACTAGAAGCAAGTGATACATAAACTAGCCTCCCTCATGTCTAAGAGGATTACAAGATTCCCAACCACCATCCTTATTCTAGAACAATTTTAGCACCACTATTTACATTTTTACTGCAACATTAACAGTGGGAATGATGCTTTGCACAGTGCTTTCTCTTCAACACTCGGTTTCCTTTTTTGAATGGTGCCCTCTAGAGCACACTACAGTGCCAGCTCTTTCCTGTTTGTTCCATTGAAAATGGTCTAGTTAGTGCCCAAACTAGCGGCGTGAGTGTTCCAGGTTAGAGTTTATTTATAGGTATAGATGATGAACATGTCTAACAAAATTCTTGGTTTGGGTGCCTTTAAATTTTTTATTTTTAATACTGTGGCTTTTTTTTTTTTTTAAGCACTGTACGTTAACATGCATTAAAGAAATAAAGTAAGCGTATGGCTAAGAGATGTTTTCCCCCATAACACTAGCCATCTGTACGTTAAGATGGCCTCCTACAGGCTTCTGAGCAGACACAGGGTTTCAGTCACCGTTCTTCTTCGTATTTTCCCTCACTAGGTTTGCTTCCCCTCAGCCTGCGTGCCGAAATGTCCCTCTCAGTTTCTTCAGAGGCCTGAATGAGAAGGAAGCAGAGTCGCACAATTAGTATAGCTCTGACCATGAAAACATCGTCTCACTGATTCAAAATATGCAATCGTTTTTGGCCCCAAATATTGAAGTGCTGTCTTTCTTTGTTAGTCATCTTTTATAAAAAAATCAATTTGGATTTGTTTCCTTTTCCAGCACTGCCATTTTTGAAGAACACGGTAATTCTTCTCTACCCATTTGCACCTCTCATTCTCCTGTACGGGCTGTCCCTGGCACTGGGGTGGAACTTCACCCACACCCTCTGTTCCTTCTACAAGTACAGAGTGAAGTGAAGAGAAAGGTGACAGTACGCAACCTTAACTATGTCGGCAGTATTGGTGCAGTGATGACTTTTTGTAAAATTTGTAAATAACCTATCTTTGTAGATATCTTAAAGGTGTAAAGTTTGCAGATTTGAAGAAATATATGTTAACACTATTGTCAAGTACATTCCTTAAAACTAATTAAATGTACATTTCTGTAATAAATATTTTTTAAACTGAAGCACGCATACTATTTTAATATTTGCACACACAAGAACTACATATAAAATACCGAGAGCACAGGTGAAGATAAAAATGTTACTATGTTTATGAATAAGTACTTCTGACCGAGTATACTGGAGGACATGATACCCTGTCCTTGCTCTTGTCATTTACAACGTGCACAGTCTATCCCATGTCTAAACAACACTATGTTAAAAAGTTAAATAGGCCACATGACCCCAGGCTAACCACCAAAAGCATCTTTAACTGGTAATGTAACTCGAGCAGGAATCACTGCAGATAGCCCTAAACAGCAGTAACAGCATTTTCTACACAAGACAAAACCCAAGCCAAAAATAAGCAAAACCTCCCAAATACGTTAGACCAGAGCGGCCATGGCGGCTGCTCTTATTCTGAGAATCCTCTCACGTAATGAGGTCAACGAACACCTACATAACCTTGACACCACTGCCTTGACAGCAAGGCCTTCTCCCTTCTCCTTTCCCCAACACCCTCATAAATTTAGGATTCACTGCTATTTCTAACTGAAAATAAACTATTATTTACATCAGTGTTAAACTTAACAACAAATTTACTCAGAGTTTCACCCATTTTTATTATAATAGCCAGCAAGTGGTGTAGTGGTTAAGGCTCTGGACTCCCACATGGTTGACCATGGTTCAAGTCCTAGACATAGAGGCTTGAAACACACTGTGTGAGTGCGCGCGCATGTATGCCAAAGTCCTGGGAGGAGAAGAGATTGTGATGCGCAAGTTCTTGCTTTCTCTGTCTCTGGTGAGTGCACGGAATCTATAACAAAAACTTCTTTAAGGAAAAGAAAAAGGTCATCTTGAGTTCCACATAGCTTTTTTAACTTCTTTATTTCAAATACACATGAACAGTTGTGGCACAGAGAAACAGTGATGAAAGGCACAGTCAACAGGACAGTTATTAAGTTTCAATTATAGCAGCAAATTTGAAAATAAATAATCTTCCTTTAAAAATCCAACGGGTACCTAAAATATTACTACAGATATTAGCCATTCAACCAATGAAGACATTTTAAGGAAAATATGTATAATACACATAAGGAAAAAAAGTCTGGTACAGCCTGGCAAAGATTCCTCAGGCAGTTTCTTGAGGGGACGCTTCCAGGAACATCCCAAATGCAAAGAGGACCTCTCCACACAAAATGTTCTGAATGAAACAGTTTTTCATCCCCAAAACGAAACATTGGTACACTAGGCTGATTTCTGTCTTAGAAAACATTACTGTCTGTAAGGAAAGGAGAAGAATCGAAGCTGCTGGCAGTGCATCTTACAGTACTGTCGATGTCCGCCATTTTAAGGCTCAGAGAATATGTCTTCAAAAGGTATTTTCACCAAATGTGAGCAGACACTGAGCATTTCAAATCAATAATGGAATGCGAGTCAAGGTAAAGTACCGAACCTTTGATCCAGGACAGGCTGCTAATCGCTAACACGACAGAACTAGAAGCAAGTGATACATAAACTAGCCTCCCTCATGTCTAAGAGGATTACAAGATTCCCAACCACCATCCTTATTCTAGAACAATTTTAGCACCACTATTTACATTTTTACTGCAACATTAACAGTGGGAATGATGCTTTGCACAGTGCTTTCTCTTCAACACTCGGTTTCCTTTTTTGAATGGTGCCCTCTAGAGCACACTACAGTGCCAGCTCTTTCCTGTTTGTTCCATTGAAAATGGTCTAGTTAGTGCCCAAACTAGCGGCGTGAGTGTTCCAGGTTAGAGTTTATTTATAGGTATAGATGATGAACATGTCTAACAAAATTCTTGGTTTGGGTGCCTTTAAATTTTTTATTTTTAATACTGTGGCTTTTTTTTTTTTTTAAGCACTGTACGTTAACATGCATTAAAGAAATAAAGTAAGCATACTAGTTATCATAGCATTTATCTGTTAAGATTAGTAATTAAAATTTCACAGCTGTCCAAGTTAAACTAAATTTTATACATTGTAAATATTGCTACATAGCTTGGAAGTTTCCTTGTCTATAAGGGATTAGATTAGATATCTAAGTTCCCTTATAATACTAATGTATAATTAATAATTCACATTTCTCATTTTTTTGATAGTCCTTATTTAACTTCATTTTCTTTAGCTCTACTGATCTTACATCAAGGCTATGGCAATACAGTAAAAACAGGCATAAAAATGAATGGATGAACCGAAATACAAATAAATTTCATTAGCCATTAATAGCTTAGAAACAGAGATGTATTTTGGAAAACATTCTCACAGTATAAATATTTGGTTGGCACATAAAGGATTTGATCTGTGCTAGATAATAAACTAGTTTTAGTTTTAAAAAACTGAAACCCCCCAGAATGGAGTAGATTATCTGATCTCTACACATACAGGCAGAAGCTATTTTTCTCATAATGTATCTGAACGACCACGGTTCATTACCGTCTAATAGACTTCGGGTAGGCCCAGTGTAGTCTAAATGAGTATGAAGTAACGGTCCTCTTCCAGAGGAGAAGATTCCTTATATTCTCTTTTGGTCCTTCTACGACCTCATTCCAGCAATTCTTTTACAAAAGGCTACTAAGATGCTGCAACATTTTGCCAATAAACGTTCAATGAAGGCCTAAGAACTCTGCAGAGAATACCCTAGATGAGGCCCAAGACTTTACAAATAAAGTCTTCACGTGCCTATCAAGACATACCCAGACTATAGGGAATCAAGGATGAAGACTTCCTCTTGACCTCTTCCGAATATTGCATTCATTTTCTATTGAAGCCCAACAAACCACCACAAATACAGCAGCTTCAAACACCTGCCAGTTCTGATCTCAGTTCTGTAGGCAGCAGTCAGTCCAGGCTGGCTTCACTGAGTTCTCACTCAGGGTCTCCCAAAGCTGGAGTCAAGGTGTTGACCAACCTGGGCTCTAATCCGGAGACAGGAGTCGAATCCACGTCCGAGCCCAGGAGTAAGTGTGCGGGCTACACTCAGTCCGAAGCTGTAGGACTCGGGTCCCACTTCCTCAGCCAAGGCCGCTCTCAGCTCCGAGGGCCACCTGTGTTCCTTCCACTTAAAACTGCAACGGTGCCTTCAGTCCTTCTGCTTGAGCCTCTGCCGCTGCCAGCCTGAGAGGGCTCACAGGATCTGATTAGCCATCCCTAGATAACCTCCCATTGCCATAAAACGTGACAGAATCAGGGGTCACACAGGGTTCCCCCACAAGCAAAGCGGGAGGATATGATACATCATTGGTGCTGGGGGGCGGGGGGCAGGGGGCGGGCAGATACACACTGCTTTGAGAACAAGCTCCCACAGGCTGTTTCCATGTAACCAAACTTGCCTCCGACGGATCGCACTGTCAGGAAACAGCTTTGTTTGTTTTTCTTGTTAGGACATTTTTTCAAGGAAGGCTTTAAAGCTTTGCTGGTGGTTTTAAAAATAACCACACCTTTTAATGATTTACTGGTGTCACCACTGATTTCAAAGCAATACTTCTGTTCAAAGGCATTTTCTTTTTTTTTAAATTATTTTATTTCACTTTATTTATTTTTTTATTTCAATTTGACTAGAGAGGGATAGAGTGGGTGAGAGAGAGAAACAGCAAGCTGCTAGGTCCGAGACTTGAACCGCAGTCGGCCGTGTGGGAGTCTAGCACCCTTAACCACCAAGCCACCTGTCAACCCCTCAAAGACATTTTCAATGGTTGGATTAACAATAAGATGCATGTCTACAGCCTGGGTGCTAAATAATCTATTTGCCTTAAGCTTTTCACCACACTGTCCTTTTTAACCACACAGTACGGTGCAATGTATGTGGTAGGAAATGCATGAGACCATAACAAAGAAATCGTGGATCTTAGAATCTTGGCTGTGGGTCCTCGATTTTCTCTTCTGACCCAAAGCACTTGTGATCTGCATTATGACCTATCCACACATCTGCTTTTTCCCTCGTGATCAGAATTCATTAGTTCTGGCTTCCAAAACACTCACATCAGCCCCCCTCACACAGCACTGTCCAACGGGACCTGCACAGTGATAGTCTGTTCTGGGCAGTCCAGTGCAATGGCCCCTGGTCACTGACACGTAGCTAGTGTGACTCCAGAGCTGAATCCTGCGTTAACTTCAATAGCTACCGTGTGTCTAGTAGTGGCGCGCAGGCCAGCCGAGCTCCAGTGCGAACATGTGTGAGATCTACATCGGATGCCAAACCATGTCGTTTCGTATATATGTACATACATGGGTAATCAGTTCCACCATTTGCCACCTTTTCCATTCGTCATTTTGGGTAAGCGTTTGGTGTCACCTCCAGGTACGTATTTACCTTCTTTCAGCTCCAGGTACTCTTGGCCTCTTCCATTCTGCCCTGGCACTACCTTAAGGTCCACACCACAGTTTCCTGGGTGGGGAAGCATGGTCACTTCTAAGTGTCTAGTGTAGAACTGAGAATGGAGGAGGAAGCAACTCACAACGAGATGGCATGAGCACCTGCAGTAGCAGCAGGGAGCTAAGAAGGATGTGCCACAGCTCGCTTGGGAGCCTGAAGTTCGGTCAGAGCCAACACAGACACCACACACAAAATGGTGCCCCACCATCTATCAAGATGTAAAGAGCTAGTGTGTACCTATGTGTGTGGCAAGGACAGTAGGTCAAGGGAGTTAAGAAGGGGTGGGCTGAGCAGACTGGGCATGGGCCATGAGCTATGTTCATCCTAGGTACTGCTTGCAAATTCATGGAGAGGAGGGCACAACGAGGTCACTGAATGACAGAGATCTGCCCGAAAGGATTTCTAGGAACAGGAGTGATGACAAAGCCTGAGACAGCATGAAAACAAGAGAAAACTGGCCAGACAGGCTGAGTGTTTAAAGATGCCATTAACAGGACCTACAGGTGGTATGATGGTTAAGGCACTGGATTCCGGCATAGCCAACTGTGGTTCAAATCCTCGACCCACTGGCTTGAAAAACCACACCAGGTGCATGTGCATGCATGCCCAAAATCCCAAGAGGAGAAGGGATTGTGGCACGGCCATCCCCCCATGGGGGCTGATTTTCCACTTTCTCTCTCTCTCTGTCTCTCTCTGGCAAGTGTACGTGCCCTATGGCAATAACTTAACAACAACAAGAAGAACAGATGCCATTTACACATGGCATCAGAAGCGGTCATAACTTCTCTTCCCTAGGCTTTCAGACACGGCCTTGCTTCCTGAAACCAGAGTTGGCTACCAAGGAACCAGGATGCCAAGGGGACTCTTACACCTATCCATGCTGATTTTTCACCTTCCATGACTCATCTGTTTTGGCAGTAATACAGTATGCTAGGCTGGAGCCAACGTTTTATAATGAAAGTTTACTCCTCTTTTCAAATGCAATTTGCTTGTAGACACTGAGCCAAGGAAATTGGAGAAGAAGAGAAAATGAAAAGTAAATCTAAAACACCTTGATAAAATTTTCCCACTGGGCTTTGACATACAAGTCACTATTGGTAACAGGACTGACTTTACATCAAGGAAAGTAAAACTCATCACAATGTGGAGTGACGGAATGAACTGTACTACTGCAGCATTTCCAACTTCTTTCGCTTCTTAATGCAGGCCAGAAAGTGCTGCAGTTTGGCGCTGTGCTCAGCACGCCGGGTGAGAGGACGAAGCTGTCCAGGTTAGAGACAACCAGCTGCTCTTCACCTCGGCTGCTGGGCCCGGGAGCGCAGAACATGGGAGAATCGATCTCTTCACCTCTGCAACCCTCTTGGGCCTTCCAGTGTGTGCTGGGAACTGATGATAATTCATAATTTTTTGAAAGTAAAGTACATCCGTTTTGTGGCTAAAACTGATGCTCTTTGTTTACAGTATTTATAGTAGCAATATTCCTCAAAATTGTATGTTAAAGAGGGACAAGTACTTTTTGGACACAGGATCTACTCTAAGTTCATAAATACCACAGAATAAATCAGTTTGGAAAAACATAGACTACTGCAATACCTTTTTGCCAAAAAGCAGTAATATAATTTGGCTGTACTCTTAAAATTATACCAATCATGACTCATACCATAGCATTACCTAGAAAACATTTTGTCAGGACTCCTAAGTGGAGATATAAAAGGATCGGCAAGGAAAAAGATAACGCCTCTAACACACAGATTAAAGACAAAGATTAAAAAGGAAAGAAGAGTGTGGATTTACGTATCAGCGAAAGTGTACTGAGTCACGGCCGTGATAATTCGGGTTGAATGCATCGCGCCTGCACGTTGAGATCGACCAGACTGATTTTCTGTGGCGACACACCGTACACGGTATAGTGAGATAACTTCCAGGAAGGACGCTGGCCTTGGAAATCTTGGCTTTAGGGAATGACAAGTGCCTTTGAAAATATTTTGTTCAGAATCACTGTGATTATAAAAGTACTTCGGTTAAGAAATCCAGCTATAATCAATCTAATATGGCAGTGCATTTGAAAAATGGCATTGACTTGTAATGTTTGCATTTAAAGAAAAATATAGAAAGAACTTAAAAAAGCAAGTTAACTGGTTTTCAAAAAAAGTATCGATTCAAAAATTTACTGCACAAAAATATGTACTTCTTAAGTGTTTCTAATAAATTAACTCTGTAACATTTTTTATGTATATTTATATATTTATATATATAATCCCTGATAATCTATAAAAGAGGGTCTATAATAGTAAAATAAATGAACTTCAAAAGTACCCCCTTCATAAAATGTATTTAACATTAATTTTTCTCAAATTTAAGGAATGTAACAATATGTACAACTCTTATGTATTAGTATAATACCAAAACAGTACAAGTCATATTAACAGGCTGTCATAATTGTAAAATGTTTGAGTCAAGTTAAAATCGGAGGACAGCTTCATTCAAATGAATACAATTATCCATGGGAGATTCACTTTCCAAGTGGAAATGATAATCGTCTTATCTACAGTAGATTTCACAAGAGGTAGTGTTCAAGTTTAAAAAAAAAAAAAAACAAGGTACATGCTTGACTATCTCTAATTACCAAATTCACAGGAAAAAAAATGTGTTGGTTTCTTAATAGATGATCAGTTGGTGACTTTTTTAATATGAATCTGAAAAACAAAATAATGAGGTGTATGATAAGGCAGCCAATTCTCAATTCCATGAAAGCCTAAATATAAACCCGGAACGTAATAAGAGATACAAGTCGTTTCGCTGGTTCAATATGCCCTTACCTCATTAAGAATGGCCCAAACAGCAGAATTCTGAATAACTGAAAGTCGAAAGGCTGAAATGGGATTCAGACTGGGATCCACCATTCCTTCTGCAACACCATTTTCAAATTTTCCTTCAAAATAAAAATGGATACTTTTTGGATATTCTGAAATAAACACTATATGGAACATCACTGATATTAGGTGGGGAAAAATAACACATCACAGTATCTCTAGAAGTCCTTAGAAGGGCCTAGGGAACTTTTTCCCCCCTTCTTTCTATTTTACCTCAACTTTTAAATTTTTCTTACACCTCCTATACAGTTGGTTGGGATGTAAATCAGTATGGGCACTGCAGAAAACAATATGGAGGTTCCTCAATGATCTAGGAATAGAACTACCATATGATCCAGCAAATCCACACCTGGGCATCTACCCAAAGGACAGGAACACACTCAGAAAAACACTTGCACATTCATGTCTATTGCGGCATTATTCACAATTGCTAAGACATGGCATCAACTCAAATGCCCAAGAACGGATGAATGGACTGAAAAAATGTGACACATACACACCATGGAATACTACTCAGCCATCAAAAACAATGAGGCCCTGGCATTTAGCAGAAAGTTGGCAAATATGGAAGATTTAATGCTAAGTGAAGCAAGCCAGACTATAATAGAGAGGTATTGTATGTCTTCACTTAATATATATCGAATGTCTGCACTCTATAGCAGAAACTGACAGACTAGAAGGTATGAAGCATGGACAAGGGGCTTTCAGGTGGCGTGGTGGTTAAGGTGCTGGAGCCTACATGGCAGACCGTGGTTTGGGTCCCAGACCTGGCGGCCTGCTTTCTCTCTCTCTCTCTGATAAATGCAGATGCCCGGTAGCAAATTATTAGGTCGTCAGGAAAGTCATGACGTGTTTTTCTATGCAAAAAAAGCATGACTTTCCCAATGACCCAGTTTAAAAAGGTAAAATAAATTTAAGTAAATTTAAATAAAGAATTTTCTTAAAAAAAGAAAACATGGAGAAAAACTGTGGCTATCAGAGACAAAGTGAGAAGAGGGTGGGCAATGGGGCATGGGCGAGAGGAAATCAAGTGGAAAAAGAAACATGCAATGGACACAAAAATGGAAAATTATCTGTTGAGGATCATGTGTACAGTAATATCTCTGACTGCAGTGTATAGTGTATTCATGAAAATCATTTTGTGTACTGTAAAGAGGTACAAAGTGATCAAACATAAACAAATAAGAAAAAAGATAAAAATTTTCATGAAGTAGTGCATGCTAAAACATATTAAAAGCACTGTTTTGTTTTTTTAAAGAATTCTTTTATTTAAATTTATTTATTTATTTATTTATTTTAACTTGACCAAAGAGGGAGGGAGGAAAAGTGAGAAAGCAAGCTGCACCATTAACCACCATGCCACTTGCTGGCCCTAAAAGCACTGTTTTTTTTTTTTTTTTGGAGAAGTTTTTGCTATAGGGCGCATGCGCTCACCACACAGACAGAGAGAGACATAGAGACAGAAAGCGAGAAATCACCCCCCAGGGGGGATGGTCATGCCGCAATCCCTTCTCCTCCATTCTCCTCTCGGGATCTTGGGCACACACGCACATGCGCCCAGCATGAGTTTTAAGCTACTGGGTCCGGGATGCAAACCGCGGTCGACTACATGGGAGTCCAGCGACACAGCCATTACACTAACTGCTGGTTCCCTAAAAGCACTGTTTTCAATCATGCACTACAATGCCTATTTAATTAGACAGAGCTGTACATTTTCTCACTGAAAATTTAAAAATAAAAAAATAAATTTGCTGCTATATCAACAGTTTCTTTTTATTTTTTTGAGAGATTTTTGCTATAGGGCACATGCGCTTGCCAGAGAGACAGAAACCAAGAAATCACCCCCCAGGGGGATAGCCATGCCAAAATTCCTTCTCCTTCATTCTCCTCTTGGGATTTTGGGCACGCACGCACACAGGCCCAGTGTGTTTTAAGCCGCCGGGTCTGGGACTCAAACTGCAATCGACTATGTGGGAGTCCAGCAACATAACCATTATGCCATCTGCTGGTCCCATATCAACAATGTTTCAGGTTTTTAGCAAATTTTGACTTACCCAAACTTTACCAAAATATAATTGGCACTGTCACTCAGGCTGCTTTGAGAGCTAAGTCAGTGATAACAAAATTCAATGTTTTCATTAGACATACACACAGCGGCTGGCCTGGAGCAGGGGCTCAATCCATGTATGTTCTTTTTGAGGCACGGCTAGAAGAAATTAGAAAGTAATGCCTCTTCTGGGCCAGCAGGTGGCATGGAGGCTAAGGCACTGGATCGGATATGGCTGACTTCCTGGCTCAAGTCCTGGACCTGGTGGCTTGAAAGTCACACCGGGCACATGTATGTACATACCCAAAACTTCAAGAGGAGACTGGAAAAGGGATTGTGGTGTGGTCATCCCCACTGGGGGGGGGTGGTGATTTCTCACTTTCTCTTTCTTTCTCTGGCGAGTGCACCACCCCATAGCAAGTAGCAGTAGTAATGATAATAATAATAATAATGCTTCTCCCACGTGGTCAGTTTCCATATAAAGGACATTATAACCAGCAAGCTAATGCAGGCTTTCCTGTAAGAACGAGGATGACCGAGCCGTGGTCTCAGTTGCCAGCCATGCCACCACTGCTGCTGTTACTGTGGCCTGTTACAAAGAGGCACGTGCAGTTCTGGGGTGTCTGGGCATGTCAGGGTGCTGGGGTGCTGACCAACGTCAAGAGCCTAATAGAACAACTAGAGAAACTGAATAGCACTTTGGGGTTTTTTTAAAGCATCACCTAGAAGCTGTTAACTCAGAAGACCCGTAACTGGCAGGAATAAAAACGAAGGTGAAGATTTTCAAGGAGAAAATAAGGAACTGAAAACAAAGCCGGATCCAATACGAGCCACCTCGGGAAGCACAGAGTGCTGAACAGGGGAAAAGGAGCTAGAAAATGGTTTTGTCGGGATTGAATACTCTGTACAAGACAGAATCTCTGAACAGGCAGCTGCTATAGAAAGCTTTTCATATATTAAACCCACCTCCTACATTTTAGCCAGTATAAACACATATAGCTAGAATCGTCCATAAAATTCAACATAACTTTCTTTGGCTGTTAAAACAAGAAAATCCAAAGTCAATCTTTTTCCTTTTAATGGTGTGTATGTATTTACGCCAGAGGGCACATGTACACAGGAGAAGGGAGCAGAAAGCACCCCCCACAATGGGACGCCGTCACTCCACAATCCCGTCTCCATTTCCCCATCCTGTTGGGACTTTGGACATACATACACGCACGCACGCACACACACACACACACACACACGGACCATGGGGCCAGCCCCTAAACCTTAAAAATAAAAACCACCACCTAAGCACAGCTATCTTAACTCATCACAGGACAGCTCCTGTGTTACTCTAGTCGGGAATGATGGCACTGGTTGTATTTTAGCCGAACAAGTTTAACGGGAAGCTATTCCTGGTTTAGTTCAGGATACCAGCACAGGGACAGTCCTCCTTTCACAGAAAGATGACAGCGCCGTTTCGGTTCCCTGCAGGCAGATGGGAAGATGTGTGTGATGTGTATTAAGATGCCTTTGCCGGGGTCCCTGTCCATCTCCTGTGCTTGTTTACATATGCACAGCAGATACCTCTTCTTTGCGCCCAGCCTGCCTCAGAGAGCTGCATGTCCCTGCTGCCCCTGGGCACGCTTTCCTTCCATGCCAGCAGGCCTATTTGATAAGGTTCCCGAGCTTTGCTCTGTGCTTCAGCGACTCTGAGCTGCGCCTTGGTTTTTCCATGCTTTCAATTTGCTTAATCACGGCAGTGACAGGGCCAGGAGGTGGCGTGGCGGTGAAGGTGACAGACTGCCACCTGGCCGCTTGCCTTTTCACTTTCCCTGTCTCTGGTCAGCACCTGTGCCCTATAGCAAACTTAAAAAAAATCATAACCATATAATTAAAAATAATAATAATAATAATAATGGGGGCCAGTAGGTGGCATGGTGGTTGAGGGCACTGGACTCCCACATGGCCAACTGCGGTTTGAGTCCCAGACCTGGCGGCTTGCTTGTTCACTTTCTCTCTCTCTGTCCCTCTGGTCAAACTAAAATAAATAAATAAAGCTAAATAAAATAATTCTTGGGGCCGGCAGGTACTGTGGCAGTTGAGGCACTGGACTCCCATATGGCTGACCATGGTTCGAGTCCAAGACCTGGCGACCCAAAAATCACAACAAAATAAAGAGATAAATAAATGAACTTAAAAAAAAATTCCTAAAAAAATAGTAATTATGGCAGTGACTTTGATTGTAATGTGTAACTTCAAATAGGATCGTACTGTTCCCGAGGCTCACACACAGCTGGGATGAGACAGGAAATGAGCCATATGTTGTAGAAGATTACTGTTTGTGTGTCTAACTATATAGTGTTCCCCCGTCTTGTTTTTCTAACCCCAACTTCATTTGACCTTTATTATCCATGTGAAGTAGGTAGGGCAAAAATGAGGAGAGGTTGGGTGCTGAATTTTTAGGCCGAAGACTGACAACTAATACAAGCTATGTACTGACGGTTGGCAGAACCCGGGCACGCCAGTTAGCGGCCTGAGGCTTGCTCATCTGCCGTGTGTGCGATCAGAAGAATATGTACCACTGGGTGTAGGGGAAGGCATGGCACA